TGTGTGTGTGTGTGTGTGTGTGTGTGTGTGTGTGTGTGTGTGTGTGTTTTAGCCTGTTGCCATAGATTAGGAAAGTAGTGTTTTTAAAGCAAGTGTTCTAATAGATTTTCGGTTTGCTCATACGATTTCGACTGTAGCCATTTTGATATAACTTTTTTGCAGTCTCTATAACTTTTGGCGTATATTTCTAATTCCTTATTAATTAAATTGTACAAATGGGCCGATCGTTTGCTGAATTACCTGTTTGCAAATGTTGTATCTACTACAGGTACTTGTACCACAATGTCTTTCCTTCTCCGTCGAAATATTTAGATCATATTTTAGAGACCTCTGTTCTCTGAGTACAGTTTGAGTGATGCAGAGTTTCCTTACAGTGGCTAAATTTGATAGTTGATACAAAGTGCTAGTGGCAAATCGTCTTTTTTATATTTTATTCTTAATATTGTTGACATTAAATTGACAACGATAACTAATTCTGTTCATTAATGTTTTTTTTTATACATATATGAATGAGTAAAACTGATGTTTTAGAGTTGAACTGTTTTTCTTTCATCCACCACTTTCCTACGCTCAGAATTGTATTTTTGAACTAGTCGCTTCACTCGTGGTCAATCTTAGGCTACTTCGCTTGCTCAAGTTTCAATACCAGCACTCGCTTCAATCAACAACTTGCATAACAAGGCTGCACTTCCATAACAAATAAGTAATTTGTGATATTTTAAAACCCTAATACATAATAGTAGAAGCAAAAGTGTATGTACCCATGGAGCAAATAAAGCCACATAACGGTGAAGTCATAAAAATATTAAGACTACACGACACAAATGGTCAATATTATGTGAAATATTATAACACTCCACTTAAGTTTTTAAATGTCACGATGTTGGACACAATATTTTTGTGAAATTGCTCCACTAGTTTGTTATTAATTATTAATACAAAAAAATTTCTTTGTGCTTGTTGCAGATCTTTGCTTTTTTGTTTTTAACCACTTTTTTGCCGTAGCGCCATCTGTGAGAAACCTAAAATAGTGCAGTAATTTCACACAAATAATTGAATATCATGATGGTCCAAAATCATGACATTCAATAAACTTAAAAATTACAATGTTAAAGCGATATTTCTAGTCAGCTGCTGGTAGCTGTAAAGGCTGATACAAGAAATAGATTTCTCGCAGTTGGCACTAAAGCAAAAAAAGTCGGTAAAACCCAAAAACAAAAATCAGCAACAAGCACATAGAAAAATTCGTAAAGTCCGCTAATTTGTTTCTTGGCTTAGTTAAAGTCAAAGATCATTTACTCCATACATAAAATAAATTTACACTTGAAAACGGCACATTTACATTACATTAAGCTACTGCTCGTTCACTACTCTGATTTCCGTGAGAAGAACGAGCAAGAAACTTTAGGGATTGCTCTTTTCAAATAAACTTAAATGCTATGGAATACACTTTGAATCAAATTTGTGTGGTTTCTGGAGCCATGTCGTCTTTCCATACATCTTTATCTAACACGTAGTCTTCAATTTTGAAATATGATTTTTCAATCAAAATATTTTTAATGTAGTTTCTAAAGTTAGGAAATGATAATCTTAATATATCCTCCGGAATCTCATTGTAAAAACGTATACTGTTCCCCATAAAAGAGTCGTTTACCTTGGTTAAACGAAATCGTGGTACCATGAGTTTGGACTTAGCTCTAAGGTTAATATTAAGAATATCTTTTTGATACTTTTTTGTCACATCTCGGTGACGCTGTACTCACTCGAATTCAAGATGGTGACTGATGACACTGTTGCCTGTGGACAACAGTGCCGTGGGGCCGTTTGGAGGCGCAGATTGCGCATCTATTGTTTACAAGTATAATATCATTGGTTCACAATAAATATAGCTAACGGGTGTCACTTAGCACCAGGCCACGGCTTGTTCGTCCCGTCTCTTGTCACTTTGCAAAATGATGTATGAGGTTACTTATACAAAAAAAAAACATTGCCTAAATCCTAAAATCCATGCTATTTGTACATTTTTACCATCATCGTGAATAAAAATACAATAACATTTCTCTAAAAATTACATCTCAATCTATCAATTTGACAGATGAATGGAAAAATTAAAAGGCTTCTCATTGTTTGTTTTCGTTTATTTTTTGCGAACTTGACTGTTTGCTCCTTTGAATATAGGAGGGACAAGTGAAAGGTGTTTCATTCAAAGACGCTTCTCACGGAATTGCAAAGAGGTTCATTATCAAATTGGAATGAATTGAAGGCCACACTAATTATTTATCTTGCTAGCTGACGCATGATGAGTGGTGTTGTTAGACAGTGAAGCTCCACATATTGTACTTAAAAAAAAAACAATTTACATCTGCTAACACAATACATATGCTTCTATATTCTGCAATTCTTTAATGAAAATAAAGCAGTAGGTATACTGTTTTCCTGGAATACACAAACTTTTGTTTGTTCTCGCCAAACACATGTACCTAAACTTAGTCGTACAATTACATAATAACACAATCTTGATGGGATACAATTATCAAACGAAATTGGACAAATAGTATGTACGTCTTCGCAAAAAAAACCTATTTCAATCCAGTTACGTTAGCTATTACTAACGTCAAAACTAACCATATTATATCTTATTCTATAAATAGCTAATATAAAGTCATCGAGTATATAACCAGAAATAGAGACGAAATGTCATTTAATTTGTTTGAAAACTATTCTGCCATATCATTACTGTGACAACTGCTCTCCGATTGGCCGACCCGAATTCGAAACAATTGACGAGTGTCGTCAATTGTTTTACTTCAAATCGCCCAGTTTACTTGAGCTTTGCTATAAGGGACGAGAATTGCAAAATTACATATTTAATTACCGACGAAATTTGATTCCGTTTGTTTTGTAATAAGATGTTTTGCTGTTGTTCCCCACACCATCGAATGGAACTGCACGCTATTGTTAGAGATATTATCTTTATTAAAATAAATACTGAATTTTTTTGGAATATACAGAGACGTACACACAGGTCAGTTGTAGGCGCTGTACTATTTCAGCTTTCAAATTTGTAATTTCAGTGCAAACGAGAGTAGACATTTATAAGTGATGTATCACTGATGAGTTGCCAAGAATCTAAGGCCCTTATTTCGTCTGTATTTCTGGTTATATACTCGATGTATAAAGTACTACCATGGAGTTCCGATACTTAACACTAGATGGCACTATATTCAATAGTTCTTATTAGAATTAGCATAGAACTAGAAACCCTATAAATATCAATGATAGGTTTTTCTCATGATTTTGTTTTATAGGACATAACTATGGCTACAAGAGAACGCCCACTTCACACTTCACTGGTCCGTTTAATCCATGTTTCCCTGCCAAATTGAAAAGAAAGAAACCATGGATCAATGCATTGCACAAAATAAATTCTTCTTTTAAATTAGCAACTGTCATCATCAAAACATTTTAGCGAAATTTTCATCAACAAAATTTAACACGTCAAGGTATCACAACAATGACAAGTAATGATAGACAATAGTGACATTGGCCATCAGTGATTAGCTTAGCCGGTGACTCCTCAATGAGGCCAATTGCATGGTGTATGTGAAAAACAATCGATGAAGAGCGCGCGAGTCATAATTATATCGAAAGCAATATCCTATGTCACAACCTTAACGGTGAGATGGCAAGATATTAACTTAAGCTACTTAAACATTTACTATATAATTATTAACACATGCTTCGATCTATGTATCACTCACTGCATAAAGTGTACTTACGTCGAAGTGATCCTCACAAAAGTATATCGCTGAATTTACAGACATTTCGTCGTGCTAGGACCAACCATTTTTTTCGTATGTCGGATTTTCGAGGTACATCAATAAATAGTTTATTTGGGGTAATTATAGAAGTATTCCTACATTGAGGTACTACACACCAACGATATGTTTTCCTTTCCATAACGACTTCAAACTTCACAAAAACTTTAAAATAACACCTTGCCTTTGATTTCGTAGCATGTTTACCTACTAATGACGTCACGCGTTCAATTTGACATTTTGTTACGTTTGCGCGCCAATTTGTTTCTATTTAAATTTTAACGTAGTTTTAGCACATTTTAGAGACTATTAAGCTTTATTTTAATAAAATATTATTTTTCATGGCTGTACATATATATTTTAGTTAATTCTAGACACTTTCTGAAAAATTGTCCGATTCCCTATTGGTTATAAATAGGTACTGTAGTGAGATATAGTCCCTTCAATATGTTATGTTAGACATGATTTTTAATAAAACTCCGCGATGAGACGATATATTCGCTCACAACTAACAAATAATGAGAAAAACTTTATTACTATCAACATAGAATATTGGCAAAAGTTGGGTGTACGTAGCATAATAAAGTTTCAGACAAATTACTATTGGATCCAAGAATATTGACGAGATTGAACATTTTCGATACAAATTATATTTGCGAGTTCGGCAAACGACGTTGATTTATTAGAATGAAAAATAATAACTTGAAGAGGTATGACGGTGAACGGAGAGAAGTGAAATAGGACCGAGTTTGAAACGTAATCTTTTATGGAAACTCCTAACAAATGCGTTCGATCTCAACTCCTGACGTTGGAGATTAAAAATATTCATTTGTTTATTATTTTGTCTGCAGACTCAATGAGTTTCTAGAACTGCGACCAATCTCAACAATACCGAATTCACCAAGAAAATGTTTTGAAATAAACTGACGTCTCCGCCGCGCAAAGCTGATGAATCGTAGACCATCCCACGTGATTGTTTTAACCAATGAAAAGCTCGGCGTCCCATTCACAGTTAAATTTCACATTTTCTGAATCTCTAATAAGATAAAAAAAGGATCTATTTTGGATTTACAGACTTATTCTTGAAAAGCAACGTGTGTGTTCCTCTCTTCTGAAAAGTTGGCATTTTGCAGATGTGCCCTTATTCCACTAACGGTGCAACTGTTATGGGTAACGTAGCGTTTATCACCATACGCATGCACGACTTTTTCTGCCCGTTTGCTTGGTGTCATATAAATCAATTTCTCATACAAATATACGTTCTTCAAAATTCCGTAAAATAATAATGTAGGATTATGATATCAAGTGTGAACCAATAATAGTATTTTATGCAATCTTTGCATGATGAAGTTTCTTAGAATACCGTGTTAAAAAGTAAAAGGTACGACATTTTAAGACCTAATTATGTAAACAATACGTACAATACTTGTTCTATGAGTAAATAAAATAATGAAAGCAATATTTACTGTATATTTTCTTAACAATCCATGACAACAAACTCATACGAAAGCCAAACAAACTCACTAAAACAAAAATCCAAAGAGATAGAATAGATGTAGCCAAGTAACGCGTATATTTTAAGCAATCATTTTTTTAAATATAGGTTTATGGCCCGATTACAAGACCTTTAGGCCGATTTACGACATCAGAAAACAGTAGAGCTATTGAGCTGCGTCATATTTGATATTTTAATTAGCAAAGATACGACACTCTTTTTTGAATTTTCAATTTCAGCGAGTACCATAGACAATATAATTTTGATTCAGAACTATAAAAGCGCCTGTGTGGTATAGTTTAGGAAATTGGAATTGATAGATTAAAGTACAGAAGTAGAAAAGATGTGAGTCTGTCTTTTTTGAAGACGGAATAAAATGACATTTCATAGCGCAGAAGCGCTGCCCGCTTGAGAGCAGCTAGTGTTCGAAGTCGATAAATATTCTATCGATTATCGACTGAATGTTGGTCACGCTTATATAATAAATGGCCGAACTTATTTCATTCAAATCATTCTCGACCCATTATTCATCCAATTACTGAGCACAAGTTCATTTGAATTGTTAATTCTTGTAAGTTCATACATACACACATTGTATTTAGAACTATATTTATGAAAAACACATACAGGAGACATATTTTAAAGTTATTCATTTTAATTCAATATAGATAATCAAATACAGCTATTATTGTTAAAATGTAAATTAATAAAAATTTATCTCAATACTAGTAGGCCAACTGTCAAAATAAGAATAAAGAAGGCAATAAATAACGCAAATAGTAATCATCAGAACTTCAAAACATTCACAATTCAGGCATTTTTCGGTAAAATTTTATCTTTTTTCATAATCTATCGATAAAACTATCGACAACTACTACAACTATTTAAAATTTTATGAAAACTGGCAACCCTACAAATGTCATTTCACTCCGTCTTCAAAAAAGACAGCCTATAAGTGACCTGTGGCAAGTGTACGCACGGGCTGGCGCTCCGCATAACGCACAGAGGCGTGCCACCGCACCGTCAATGGGCACATGTTGCGCAGCGCGATCTCTCGAGACCACACTGCAACACACAAGGAAATACGTGAGGAGACATGAGTAACATAAATGGATTAACATTCTAAAATAGTTATGGTTAATTTGAGAAAAAAAGGTAGCTTAAACACATATAGTCCCACTGTTGGGCCTCCTCTCACAATGAGAGGGTTTAGGCTATAGTTACACGCATCAGAATCATCAGAAAGAAACTAAAATACATTGATAAAAAAATACACATACAGTCAAAAAAATAAGAAGAAATAGCAGCAGCGGTTGTGGCCCATACAAGCCACGCTTGTTAAGCGAAAAAGGGGTGGAACATCATAACAATAATTTCTACATAAGGTACAGTATTTAACCTATTTATATTATTACACTTTTTCCGTTACACGCTGTATAGGTGTTTTTTTGAGGTATAAGCATAAGCAGAAGTTTTATACGAGTAAATTGGAAACTTCATGATTTTGTTACTTAACATAGGTACAACAATAATGTGCGCCATTTTGTAACAAAAAATACATCACAATGGCGGACATAACCTACGTCTAAAGTTCAAACTAATTCAAAAACTAAAGCTAAAACTGAAATGATTCAGAAAAAATGGTGCTAAAAGAGACCAGTGCGCAGCGGCATGCGCCAAAACTGCAGGCAATAGGGGTGCTCAGCGTCGGGCATAACGGCGGCGGAACCGCACTTGCGGCACAAACACCGACGAGTCAGCTCCGGTGGTGACGTCACTGCCATACAACATCGTTAGTTAGTGTTTAATAATATACCAGAATAATTACACAATGCCCAAGCCATGTAGTCGCAGACGAGCTCAAGAAATTTCTATCTACTTTCTAATTACACTGAATTTATAGTTTTTTTTTAACTGGGAGAAGTTTATATAACCAAAAATTTTTGAAGTTTTGTTTTCCATCAGTCGAGTACATATCAAAAGTAAAGGTAGTTTTCCACAGGCGAGGTAGACGAGACGAGATGAGACGAGATTTGAAATCTCGCCGGCCTATTTCCACCAAAAATATCGCGATTGATATTAATAGCCATCGCGAGCTCGCGCAACACCGTGCGCGTTGCAGAGTATAATACTCTCTGTAGGCTGCAATAGGATTCAATATTACATCAACAAATATTTCTATTCTCGCCCATCGTCGTCAATCCAGACCATTTCCATCGAAAATGAGCTGGGAGAAAATAAAAATTTTGTCCTACAAATTTCAATCCTCGTCTCGCCTTGTCTCGTCTCGTCGGTGAAAACCCACCTTAACACTTGCAGTTTGATTTTTACTTTTACGCAAGAAAGGTACAAAATAAAGGTAAGTATGATTTTTTTTAAATACGTAACAAAAATATTGTTTGCATAGTAAATGTTTGAACGCAGCATAGTGAAGTCTCGTTTACGCTTACCACCATGATTTCTTCAATGTTGAGACAATTATCAACAAAAATTAAAACAGTGTCTCTACCACGACTTTACTGGGACAGCGTAAATTACATCGTAATTTTGTATGACAAATTATACAGCGGTCACAAGAAGAAACAATATTTTGCACACAAATATTTAACGCGGTCGCTAGCGACAACTGTCACTGTAATCTCATGGTAGAGGCACAGTCGTCATAACGTTTGGAGTAAATATAAACGTGACATTAACTGTCAAAACACAGCATTAAGAAATGTAGCTTTTCGCGCTCTTGAAAATTAATTTTGTTTTATAAAAGACTCACGAATCTCGATGATCGAATAGTAGGATTCGTCAGAGCTGGAGGGCGGTTTGTGCTGCTCCTTCATCGGCGGAACGTACTTCAAGTGCGTCGGGCAGTGACATATGTTCTCTAAGGAAAAGAGTTACCGGACTTAAAAGACGGTTCTAGTAGCAGTAGAGCTCCTTGCGAAAGACTTCACCCAGGGAGATACTGACACCTTACCTATTTCTGCCGTCAAGAAGTAATGCGAGCATTACCGCGTCCCGGTTTGGAAAGGTAAGAATGCTGATGATGTACCTCGGCCATTAATCTATGGCTCGAGACGTTTATTACGTCCTGCTCAATCAAGTACAGGCTTTTGTCATTTGAAGTACTAGGATCTTAGATACTTTGATCTCGAGACCTAAGGAATATCTCAGACGATACGTACTTAATATCGTAATTAAGAACAAGTCCAGCGCCTAGTGGTAAGCGACAGGCCTGCTCACTCGGAGCTTTAAATTGCAAAGACCCGAGGGGCACTGCTACTACGCTCGCGTCTCTGAGACACGTTAACAAGTCCCATGTATATGTAATTTCACAAGCACCCTTCCAAACCGACATGCAGTAAAGCTCGCATTAAGATCTTCGCGATTTAAAGCTCTGCGGTTACGCGGAATCAACATCGGAATTTTCCCGTCATATGCGCCACGCGGCGACGATCCGTTCACTTTCTACACACCTCACGTAGCAGCAAGATAGTTGCACAAACAACACGTCTCTTAGACGTGTTGTATAAACATTGTTGCACAACGACACCGCGTGCAGCGGCACAAAATTCCAAACTAACCAGCTAACTAAATGCAACCATTTCAAATAGCATATCACACCGTCATAGACTATAATACTAACATCGGTGGCTTTCTACAAAAGTGGCATATCTCGAAAACACCCAATTCATCGGTAAAATGGTTTAAAAAACTAAGGCGACACACTTAGCGCGCTGAACGGACGGAAGTTATCGCGAAATCGTTTAACCAATGGAAAGCTTTCCGGGTCGAACGAGTCGTGCGTCTTACGTGACTCGCTTATTCATAGCACTTGGAGTGCTACTCAGTACTTTACATGACAAAGATACAGACACTGCCACTGCACTCATCACCCTGATACGTAAGTTGAAAAGTCTATATGAGACTGTAATTATTTCACCAACGCCCTTGTCCTTTAAAACCGTACCCAATGACTACGTGGGGAGGCGACGAAAACCGCAGTTATTGGCAGTGCCATGCTCTCGGACTAATCTTAACCAAAAGGCCCCATTCACACGAGCGTTACGAATTTTAAACGAGGTGGCGGACAGAATTGATTTGTTTTCATGTACACTGTGTGAATTCACAAGAATGACTCTTTTTATTGTTTGTTATGTTCAAATATAATACAATTTGTAAATATAGGATAATTGATAGAATTTATGGTTAGCACCTACATGTATATACATAGTACATATTACATTTTTCTTAGTTAGTAGCTTATAAGTCACTTGAGTTGTACTCTATCACATTGGCTATGCATAGCTGTAAGGGTAGATGTATCGTTATAAATAAATAAATAAATAAATAAATAAATAAATAAAAGAAAACCGGTACACGGTAATGTGAGAAGTTATAGAAATGGTATGGTGGCAATACTTCCTTGGAGGAATTCTTTCACAAGGAGCTCTACTACTACTAAATATTTACATTCTGAATACAGCTGCACAATAAGTACAAAATTAATAATTTTGATTGGGATCACATATAATGGAAAACGTCATTTCCATTTCAAAGATGACTTTATTAATATTTGTGATTGCCAATTACGTTATTTGTTTTCAATCGCTTTTGTGTGTTTGCCAAAAATGACGTCACTTTATTGTTCGTTGAGGATGGAATATTAGAATAGAATAGAATAGAATTATTTATTTCGGACCATGATCCATAATAATGTTAGTAATACAGTAAATTTTTCTTACGTGCTATGGTTAGTACTATACAAAATTACTTAATTTTAGTGAAAAGAAGTGAAAGTCTAGACCACTACCCTACGCACGCGTAGTTGCACCCAATGTAGTTGGTAGGGCCAGTCCAGCCTATTGGCAACAACGGCTAGGATGCTATTAGCGCTGCCGCGCACACGCATCATAAGTGAGGCAGCCTTCTTGCGCATAATGGCATTAAAGCCATCTGTGTGCGCCTCCGTGAACATGCCGCACTACAGTGTCGCGGCAGCCCCATCAGCATCCTAAAAGCGTTGTTATATTGCACCCTTAATGTATTCAGGGTTCTCTGCGTATACTTCACCCACAGGCTGCTTGTGTAAAAGTTTTGGCAATATGCTTTAAATAATGAAATCTTTACATCTTTGGTGCAACGAGCAAACCTGCGGGCGAGCATATTACATCTAATAGACAGGCCCTTCTCTCCCTCTCCATGTTGGCACTATCATGCAAGTTATCGGTACAATATACACAAATTATATGGACGTCGGGTCCGCGCTAAAAAGTGTCCGCACTTGTAAGGCGCTAAAATCGTATACAGAGCGCGACATTCCGCTTTAGTCTTCATTTGTTCTACGGACAGCGCGATACTGCGATGACATAACAATTTAAATTTCGAATAGGTTGACTTGGGACATTTTTTTCGTGGTTGTTGTATTAGACCCGTCGTCCATTTATTTGTAAGTCAATGTTAAAAACAGAATAATGATGAAATCTGCGAATCTAGCAGCAGATTCACAGCGACTTGCATTAAAAAACCAATATATATATATATCGCATAAAGTAACAAAAATAATAAATGGGACATTGACAAAATATATTTAAAAAAGATAATGTACGTACCAGCTCTAAATGCTATTTGGTTGTAGCCAAGAATGACGTAATACTATTGGATGAACAAAAACGATATATTAGTTTCACAAAAATTTACTTTTTCAATTATTTTATTACGAAATGTGCGATATAATACGTTAATCTAACAACAACATTTTCACTTAAATGTGAAGAAACAAAACGCCTGACAGTTTTTTCCGACGCGACGTGGCAATCTGTCATCATCTGTCTCTTTCATTCCTATGTAACGTATCATTTAATTACACCACTTTAAATGGTAAATAAGCCTGATTGATATCGAGTTAGGCGATATAGTAATTATCAATGTGCAAGCGAGAAAGGCAGATTGGCCGTTATAGCTTTAAGATAAGAAACTAATACCACAAGAAAGGTGTTTTAGTTTATAGTATTTAAACTGCTGGATTTTTTTTTGTGATATGCTATACTTCAACATTTGTGAACCGGTTTCGTTGAATCTATGGTCCCATTCTAATTTGAAGAAACTATTCCACCTCTAAGGGCGCTCCTTCATCGCGAGGATGCGCTTGTAATGTAACAGTTCAAAAGCGAACATTACATCGATGAGGGAGGAGAACCGAGCATTCGTTGCGCAACACTTGTAACATTCGGTAGCCTCCTACACCGGGACCATTCGCCTGTAATGTAACAATCTGTTCAGAATGTAAGTCCGCGACTCCACCAGATATAGTGGAAATGTTTTCAAATCTTTACTTAAGTTAGGTGCCTGCGAGTGCCCGCGAGTGCCCGCGAGTGCCTTTGAATGCCTTTTATTATTCTCAACAGTTTGTGTAATTACATCTAAATGACATATTTTATTGAAATCGGTTAACAAAAAGGATGAAATCCATTCCAGAAACTGTTCAGGTCGGTTTTTTTTAATAAACAATATGTAATAATATAATATTGAGTGACATTTTGCCTAAACGCCTAACCTATGAATATGGAGACATTTACTTTATCCCGGTATTTTCGAGACGGCGAGTCTCTCGACTTTTTTTATTCCGGGCCGCAAAATATACCGAGACTAAAAGACCTAGTTATACTGATCGACTTTTAGTTGAAATCCACTCTTCGTCACTGTAATCTAGAAACAGTTTCGTCACAAATGCGCGCTAGGTCTTAACTAGGGTATTCACCTTGGCGAAATTTCCTCTTCAAGTCTTCCATCACAAATATTTCTTCTGGCGTAGTCGGCTTTGGGCTGTCAGCCTCCCAAGGGAATACTTCTCGCTGGAACAAATTGATCAGATGCTAAAATCAATGGCGGCGACGTGCCGTACGCGTTTTAAGGAGCTCACGTAATTGCGGTGTAATTTATTGCCATCGCCTGTGACGCATAATTGATGACTGCAACTCCTGACCGCACCCCCTCTGTCAACATTTCATAATAATAATATTCCCCGGCCGACTGTGCCTATTGCCGGGGAATACAGCCTCCCCCTTTTAAACATTCTGATTTTGTGAAAAGTGATTGTGTGAGAGGTGAGAATCTTTTTTTTTATGTAAGAGTGGGGAAGGCCTTGCTACTGTTAGCAAAAGCTATATGATCAATTTAAAATGCTTATTACTACTTGCAATAATCAAATAAATCAAATATCAGATTTGGGTACAATTAAACGAAAACAAAATGGCAACACTGAAAAATATTGGAGAAGTGGTTTAAAAAAGACTAAGATGACATAGAGGACGAAGTGAATGGACAGGCGGAGAATTATTTTCCTGAAGGGATGCGTGTTTTTGCAGGTTTTAAGGGATTGGGATTAAATATCGGATCACAATTAATATGTGTTATAGGTCTAAAACTAATAATAATAACACGCACACTAGGGAAACCCTGTATCGCGAGTGCCATGGACACACACATAGACAACCACAAATTCACGATATAAATACAATTATTTCTCCTGGCCCGGGAATCGAACCCGGGACCTCTGCATGGCAGTCCAGCATGGTAACCGTTCGGCCACAGAGGCAGTTGAATTATATGAATATACTATACTACAATGTAGAATAGAACCCATTTATTGCAACGCCACTACATAAAAATACACAAAAAGGAACAGTAAAAAAGACAGAATTTAAAAGCAAAAAATATATCAAATTTTAAATAGTTAAGGGTGAGGCCAGACGAGCGTAATTTTGTGAGTTGTGAGTTGCATTTTTTGAGTTTGCGCAGTTTGCGCTCGACCGAAATTCGGTTGGAGCGCCAGACGAACGTATTTTATTCAGTTGCTTTTTAAGCGTTTATACCAAAGTGACCCCTTCCCTCACCCCTACCTCAACCCGCGCCAGCCCGTCAAACGATGCGACCGACAGTCAGTCGTCATTACTCCCGTGAGTCGGCAGATAACTCATTTTGCGTCGTCGTGTGAAACAAACCGCACTTTTATATGAAACCGAATGCAGCGCAAACTGCGCAACTCAAACTATGCGCGCTCATAACTCACAAAATTGCGCTCGTCTGGCCTCACCCTTACACAAATTGAATTACCGTCATATGTGCAGCTGTGGCGTATGCAACAGAATTCACTCAGTTAATGCCACAGCCGAGATTAGACTGTGATGCTAGTTCTCAACTGATGTTACGCGTTTGTCTAGTAGGTCCTTGCATATTCGCTCTAGCTCTGAATAGTCCTAAGTTGTAGCTTTGGGGAAAACCTAATGCCCGCAGTATAATCATTCTTTCGCCGTAGATGCATCAGAAAAAATTAGGCAAAGCACTTTGTGCAATTGGTTGCTAAATCAATGACATAATGATGGAGGGTTATGGACTTTCTAGTCGACCAAAGGATTACTAGTGAGGGTGGAACTAAATTGTAAGTTCCTGGAAATTGCACACTCTCCGAAATGTATCTAATAGAAAATCGATAATTCGTCGTGAGTCGTTGGCAATAAGTCTCTTTGGTTTAAATCTGTCAGGGCACTTGACAGACAGTTCCATGTTACCGTAAGGAGTTAGTCTTATATTTTGTGACTGATTTTGGAATTGGTGAGACGCATTGACGTTGGGAGATGAGCGTGCCGACAGCTCCGCCACCAAATCGGAAATTTGGCGGAATTTAGAGTCAACCGCTTATCGGTGGAGTTGCCACTAAGTAGTTATGCTATGCACAACAGGAGGTGAGCGAATCAACAGCTCCGGTGCCTCCCTAGACAAAGGGTGCGTGCACCTGGGGGACACCACCTTTTTGAGAACCGGGTGAAGCCTGTGTCAACGGGCTAATCAGAATTTGTCCAATAAGTTCTCTGTGCAAGCAGGCTTCCACAGGTAATAGTGCTTGTATAACCAAAAGTTAGATATGGGACTGATTCTTGGGTTATTTACATACGTCTGAGTGAACTGCAAGTGAACCAGGCCATCTGGTTGCTGTGCACTGGTGGCCGTGAGGCAGCCTTCAGGAACATAAAGACGATTGCGAGTGCGAGAGCTTATTAAAGCCGCTATGTTCGCGACGTTCCATTCCCGCTGGACAAGGAGCCCGGCACTCGAGCAGAGCAACTAGCCAACGTAGCGCGGACTGACACGCGCATTCTTTATTTTAAAAAGTTTCAAATTTCTCAAATGTAATGTATTATATTATTTTCATTACAAGTGTTGTTTAAAACAAACATTCTTTTATTCATAAAGGCTTAACAAGTATCTGAGTTGATTTTATTTTTTCTCATCCAACCACGGGCCGCTTCTGCCACGTTTCAACCTTGCTACCTGGAGTTGAGTAACGTAAAATTGGCCGGCGCGCCGCGGGTCATCTTGTTCGGGAAGTCCGTAAATCTAACGTTATGACAAATTACTGCATACATCCTTTTGAAAAGATTTGTTGCGGTCTCGTTCCTATAACTTTTTAAACTTACTTCGTATTAAGAATTGCTAATGGCAATTGCGCTCATAACAAAAAAAATTGCTCTTAAAATTGTCGCATAAGGTCTGGGTCGGCCGCTTGCAACTTTCCGAGACAGGTTGACTAAGTTTAGAATTTGAATTTTGTTCACTATAGACCCAAAAACACATGACAGGTTCTCTTGGAGCTCATACACGGTAAACTTCTTTCTCCTAGTCTGCTGTATCACATTAACTTTAAATAGGATTATCAGGAACATAGCAATTGGAAGTCCAAAGTCTTTTCCTATTCCTGTGGAACACATGAGTGATGTGCCAAATTGACTGCCAAGTTGATGCGTGATGTACCAAGATGTTGACAAGTGACTCATCATGTTCATTGTCTAGTGGCAGTGCCCCATCTTAGCGATTTAAAGCTCTGAGTGGAAATGTGAAATCCCGTCACTTGATATTATATAATCTCAGTACCTACAGAGTACTAAAAAACCGATCTCAAAAGTGGAATTACATCTACTTGCCAATTGAAATCGGTTACCGGAAAGTGCGCGAAACCGGGTTCATCCCCTAGTTTGCCACCCTTTCTTCAAATTTAAATGGGACCAGTACCTTCTTTCCAATAAAAGAATCGTCAAAATCGGTTTACAAATTATCCGGCCGGAGTCATCGCGTAACATACATACATATTAAAAATAATTTAAAAAATAGTCGAATTGGAAACCTCCTCCTTTTTTAAGTAAGTCAAAAATAAAAAATAAAAAAGTTCCAATTTCATAGATTTCTCATAGATGGCGCTACGGCTAAAAAGTCGTTGAAAAACCAAATACAAAGATACGACAGCAAGCACATATAAATATTCGTGAGATTGGTTCGTTCCATGGCTACGTTGGCATAGCGTCTGCCACGGTTTGCTACAAGACGTCGGTTTGAATACGGCCGGATCGAAGGAATATTTTTCTAAGCGTTCTTCTAAGTGTTTTTATTCAACAAAAAAATTAAATACAGTGAACAGCGACATCTCTAGCCGGAGCTGCTAGTTGTAAACCTTTACAGCTAGGTTTACGTGACGAAATACTTTCATAGAGTTTAAATTAGTTTCCCAAATACAAATAAAGCCAGTCATCTACCAACCACTTACTCATTCATTTCTACATTCATCTCACTACCATGAAATGTGAATTATCTATCATAGTAAAAAGTCATAGCCACCTACCATTGTTAAAAGACTTTGAAGGACCATGTTCCTACGAAAAACCAATTCCTTATATATATATAAAAGTTTTATATTACGTCGCATTATTAGAAAGAACATCAAACTACCAAACGCTCAACGGGCTAAGGTCTAGGATACTAACGAGCCACAACAAGTCTATCCAACGTAATAAGAGTCTATCTAAGCCCTCGATTCATGTGGGTCCAGTGACCAGTAGTATTAGTAGACAAAGGCTGGGTCAAACTCATGAACGATGCATGGTGTTGCCGATCGGTCGCACTGATCGATTATTTACGGCACGCGAGACACTCGGCCCCTGCTTTTGCTATTCATGAAAGTTAAAAGGACAATAAACGAGATGTAACAGGAAACGTATGTGTACAGTCAACAGCATATCAAGCTATGTATAAACTTTTGTTTGAATATCGCGTCCAGTGGAACAGAACAAGATCCGTCAATGTACCTTGATGAGCTGCCGTCTAAACCATACAAAAATTTCCATTCCATTCCATATTTAATATTTAATTACCGATGAAATGTGATTCAGTTTGTTTTGTAATTAAATATTTTGCTGTTTTCTCCACACCACTGAATGAAACACCCCCCATAGAGATATTATTACCTTTATTACAATAAACACAGAATATTTTTGGAATATACGGAGACATACACACTGGTCAGTTGTTAGCGCTGTATTATTTCAGCTTTCTAATTTGTGAGTTTAGCGGAAACTAGAGTCGATACATAGGGCGCACTATAAGTTTCCGGAACTGGCCACTTACATAAACAATATTTAAAAAGTAATTACAACATTTGAAAATGGAACTCTTTGGCTGTAGAATTCAGTTTGTTTCATATGACTGTCGCTTGTTTTTAAATTGTGACGTCATTTTAGAAATTGGTTGTCTACATCACCATGGATTTAACTCGTGAAAATTTTCGTAGCATGATTTTCTACGACTTTAAGTGTAATTTAACAGCTCTGCGGAGCTTCGCTCGGCTTCAAACTGTTTTTGGCGATGAAGCACCATGCAAGACGACTACTTATAGCTGGTTTGCAGAATTCAAACGCGGTCGTATGAATCTCAATGAAGAATTTCGTGATGGTCGCTCGTCCACTGCTGTGAACAACAAAAACATCGATGCTGTTTCGGTGTTGTATGATCAAAACAGACAGACATG